TTTAGACACTCTTGCAGCATAAAATTTAGTAAATAGAAAAACTTGAGTACAATATTTGGTTTTAAAAACTTCAATACGCCCAGAGAAATGAAGCCTTAAATTTTTACTGCAATTTCACAAAATTGAAAATATTTTAAAAAACGGGAAAATTTAAGTGTAATAAACCTTAATCAAATTTACCTTTATTTCAATCGTATAATTAAAAAATAGAATAATATACAGGGTGTTCCATTTAAAAAAATATGACTATAATAATTTTTACTTACTTGGGACACTCTGTATCTTGTAAAAATATTTTTAAATTGTAGCTCTAATAGTCCTTCAACAAACCCCGAGGGGCAAACCGCTCTCAAAAATGGTGTACAATAAATACAAATTTTGGGAAAAAGTACCAAAAATACCAAATTATTTCCAAAAAATACCAAATTGTATTATTCTTTTTAGTATCTAAAGAATTTAAGATATTTGGAGCTTTAGGGCCTATTCATGTCAAACTACGATAATTAGGTCAGAAAAACATAGCTAATTCGAGTTCCAAAAAAGTACGGTTGTAGAAAGGTTTAAAACAATCGCACAGTCTAAATACGACAATCATTCATGTCAAAAGTTGCAAAAAATCATATTGTGCCAGTGTTTTGAACCGTTCTAGAACCTTACTTTTTGGGAACTCGAATAAAGCTACTGTCATGACACGTTTAAAACGTCATTTTAACGGTTCCATTAACATCGATACTTCAAAAATTTATAAAATAAAAACTAGACATAAAAAGTAATTGAATTTTTGTTATTTGCGCTATTTGTTACTTATAAGCTCAAAAATATAATTATATGCACAAGAAAAATAAGAAATTCTAACGAGATCCATATTATGTTTCCATGATGCGAGTTCTTTAATTTCTTGACATTTTTTCGTATGACGCTATGTACCGTTTTTGCGTAAAAACCATTTTTATGCATTGAAAAATTGCAAGCTTGGCCATTAATATCGGGTAAAAATAACCTATTTTTCAAATAGGCCAGCAACCTAACCTCGAAACACAAGTAATTAATCTTAAGTATGTATATTACGAGGTATGGGTCCGTTCGACTTTACGGACACAAGAATTTAAAAAAAACAAAAATTGTCCTGAAAAGTACGTATTTTAGTAGGTAATTTAAGCCAAAAAAATTTGCGGATTATCCAGTAAATTTTAAAATATTGAAATAAAATGATGGTACTATTTGATGCTGCGGAATTTGGCAGATGGCACAAACATATGATGACATTAACCTGTGCGACGTTGCCGCTATTTTACGCCAATTTTTCCCGTGCCGGTTGCCGGAGGAACGGCTCCTACGGTGGCGCCATCACGGTGAAAACAAATGAATTATTTTAAAATCTGTGTTTAAAATCAAATCATCGAAAGCACTCAGATTCGTATTAAAATATAAAAAAACACAGCTTAACCCCCCTCACCATAGAAAACCTAACCAAAGCAACCCAAATCCTAACCAATCTAATAATATTTTTGCAAAATCACAGTTAATTATTAAAATTTAAAAACCACAGCTTAACACCCTCCGCAAAGAAAAGCTACCCAAAGCAACCCAAATGCTAACCAATCTAATAATATTTTTGCACAATCACAGTTAATTATTAAAATATAAAAACCGCAGCTTAACACCCTCCGCAAAGAAAAGCTAACCAAAGCAACCCAAATGCTAACCAATCTAATAATATTTTTGCAAAATCACAGTTAATTATTAAAATATAAAAACCACAGCTTAACACCCTCCCCAAAGAAACGCTAACCAAAGCAACCCAAATCCTAACCAATCTAATAATATTTTTGCAAAATCACAGTTAATTATTAAAATATAAAAACCACGGCTTAACACCCTCCACAAAGAAAAGTTAACCAAAAATTCAAAACCACAGAACCCCTAAAAGAATATCTAACATAACCTCACTTAAGTAGAAAATTATATAAAATAATTATGTTGACAACGTCGGAAATAGCATGCGAAGACCGTCGATCAACTGTCAATCAAAAAGTCAATGGTTGCTAGCTCGGAATATACATGTATTTTCTTAATTTTTACGCTTACAAAGAGGTTTTCTTGAATTTTTGTGCTTAAACTAGGTCAATCCACATCTATATAATGTATACCTATAGTAAAGTGCTAATATTCGATGTTTCTACCTAATCTGTATGGAAAATTTAACGTTTTTAGTGTCCGTAATATCGACTGGGAGGTATATTTTATTGTTAAGTAGGTACTTACCTTAGACACTAAATATAAAAACTTTAAAATACTTCATATAAAATAGGTGAACACCAAAAATTTTTGATCGTGTAAAAAGCGCGAAGGCGGCTCATTTTCAATGCAAATGGCCTAGAAATTAGAAATGATGCAATCAGCTTCCCGGGCGTCGCCACGTGCGTGTAATCCACATCCACCGTTGCCAGATGTCCAACAAAATACCTGTTTAATACCAGTTTAATACCAGATAAAACCAGTTTATTACCAAATAATACCAGTTTATTACCAAATAATACCCAATTAGTACCAAAAATACCAAATTCGTACCAAAAATACCAAAAAAATACCAGTATTACCAAGTGCTTGTACAATAAATACCATCAGCGGTTTGCCCCTCGACGAACCCCAAACTTACAATTTGTAAAAATCTAATCGTTTAGCTACAATACTCCGTGTCGTATGTGGTGAACAACCCTTTATTTTCCGAAAGGCTTTGTATATTTGACGACGTAATTTAATAAAGGCGATCGTGGCTGAGAACCGTCAGCCACTTCCGGCTTTATGCGACAGGTAACTTTTGACAATATCGGATCTCGAAATCGAGTTAGGAGAGTTTTAGACGTGGAGTTACCGTCTTTACTTACCGGCTAATGTAGATTGATTAGACAAATATTACCGTAACAACTTCCCCGGCCCCGTGTCTTTCCCCTCATCTGCCTCGAAACATTTTCTAGTTTCTAATCGAGTAAACAACAACGGTTAATTTGCTAGAAGTTTCGAAATTGACGACAAAGAGCGCCCTCTTACGGCGGTTATGGATTGACTTTCGATGAGTTTTCAATCGATTTATTAATAAAAATATTCGTTTGAAGTTCTAATTTGGTAAGGTATTCCATTAAGAAGTTTGATTTTGAGTTCAAATTAATTGCTATACCGGGTGCGTCTCAAAAGCGGCTCACCCATATAACTCTTTTATTTTTTCAGATAAAAAAACGAGATTTGGTATGTTAAATGGAACGAAGATGGCATCATTAGCATAAATGGAAAAAGCATATTTTTATGAATACTTTGATACCTCCAGAGAATATTTTAATATACCACAGTAACTTGGTATTTCGAGTCAAATTGTCGTTATGAACCGCATGTTGCAATTTCAAATAAACCATATTCGAAAATGTCAAAAGTTGACATATAATATGTCATTCTATTTAGAGTGCCATTTTCTCTCGAATAAAGTAAGAAAATACCGAGGGTGCGATTTGAAAATCAAAAGTTCTAGTCATTTCCGTCAATCAATCCAATCTAATCTATCTAATTTATGTCATATACTAACATACCAAATCTCGTTTTTTTATCTGAAAAAATAAAAAAAGTTATAGGGGTGAGCCACTTTTGAGACGCACCCGGTATATCGCTATAAGTATCATACGATTTCTTAGTAGATGCTTAAAGTCCTCATTAGGCTTATAGAAGTACCATACGATCGGGACAGAAAAAAACGGCGTCAAAGACGACTGGAAAGTGGCAATCGATGACAGTTTTGTCGAGGTCAAGCCCTAGACGTAATTTACTTGGACCGTACTCTTCTATATATTTTAATGGCGCTTGCTGCCAATTGGCCTTAAGTAGGTTGTAATTTATTTTTATACTAAATAAAAATGAATTACAATTGCAATTTCAAATAAACGAATAATATATATTATATAAATTTCAAATAAACGAATAATATTCGAAAATGTCAAAAGTTGACATATAATATGTCATTCTATTTAGAGTGCCATTTTCTCTCGAATAAAGTAAGAAAATACCGAGGGTGCGATTTGAAAATCAAAACTTCTAGTCATTTCCGTCAATCAATCCAATCTAATCTATCTAATTTATGTCATATACTAACATACCAAATCAAGGGTGAGCCACTTTTGAGACGCATCCGGTAAAGGTGAGTCTTGAATTAGTGCAAATATTTTCAGAGCTGGTAGATCTCGATTAAAAAAACATATTTTCTCTTTAACGTTTTTCAAATAAGTCGATAATGACCTATTTCTTGTTTTGAAAATTAAAAAAAATAATTTTTTTGCTTGAATTTTAAGAACCACTCGAAATTTTCTGGGTTTTCTTTCTTGTACATTTAATCTACTACCTATGTTGCCATAATGTCATAAATGATCTTACACCGTATATGAATCACATATTTTAAGGCGGGTTCTCACTTGTCAGTTTCGCTGACGCAGTCTGACTGATTCATTATCAATGAAAAATAAAAAACAACGATTGTATTCACACGTTTCATGTTTTGCTACATTCAGTATTCAGTTGGTCCAAACATTCTAATGTGGTGATTTCGTATAGACATGAAAATGGTTAAAACAAAATTGAAACCAGGTGTTCGCGAAGTTTGTTTACAATTAGCAAATGAATTACAGAATATTCTGGTGAATCAGAAAAGAAAAAAAAAACGTCGTAGGTGGTCAGGTCCTGGATATTGCGAAGAAATAAACGGGGTGCTATAGTGAAACTATATTAAAATAATTAATTAACTTAACTTGTAAACTGCACAAATCACGAAAATGTAGTTCTCACGCTTCAGTTTCTATTCATTATTCGATAATGATCAGTCAAAATGAAAAAAAGTAGAACTGGTTTTCACTTTAACTGAAAGTGCGAATGTACTGATCATTTAACATGAAAATGTGTTCTGACGTTCATTGTTTGTTCAGTATCACTGAATCAGTCAGACTGCGTCAGCGAAACTGACAAGTGAGAACCCGCCTTCAGAAACCCCCTAACTGACATTTTTAGGCAAACTTAGATTTTAACTGGAACTTATATTTTAAACGGTTCTCCATCCATTTTATGCAGAAACCCCGCTATATCTAAGCACCTTATCACATTTTCGACGTATGTTACCATAACGTGTAGTGCAGAAACCCCGTAAGTGCAGCACTTACGGAGTTTCTGCTTTACACTTTGACGTCAAAGATTTGACATGAGATACTGCTGTTTACATTTCTTTTTAAGGTTATGAATTCAGTAGACAATGTCACAATATAATTATATAATTATTATTGTTGCTAAATAAAAGCTAAAATGGTGAGTGATAGTGAAATTGAAGAGCAAGCTACAAAGAAGAGGAAGAAAGGCCTTAAACAAGTTGAGTATCAAAGAGACATTATAAAAAAGGCAAGAGTGAAAGGAACAGCATATATAAACTACAAAGGAAAATTAATTCCCCAAAAGGAAAGAGGCATGCCTTGCAGGTAAAATCTTCTTATTGCGCTGTTCTTTCCTGATTGGTGTAATTTAGGTATTATTATTTTCAGTTGCAAAATGAAATGTTTCGATAAAGTGGAGTTAGGTGACCAAAATGAACTTTTGAGCAAATTTAGGCAATTTGAAAGTAAAAACGAACAAGACGCATTTCTTCAAAATTTAATTCGAGTTGTGCCTGTAAAACGACCGAAGAAAATTCCTATAACAGGTCAACGCCGTGGAAACTCGTTCCAATACACAGTATCATGTAGTTCTGGATCTACAATTGTTTGTAAAAAAGCTTTCTTAGCACTATTTGCTATAACAGATGATCGAGTTAGACGTCTTTGTAATTTACTTGCTACTGGAAAGTCTCCAATCGACAAACGTGGGCAAGGTATATCAGGGAATGCCATAAAGGGTGAAGTTGTAAAGCTTATAGAGGACCACATAAATTCTTTTCCAGTGCGCGAAGCACATTACACGGGGCGCACATTCAAGTACTTTTCTGAAAAATTGGATGTGAAAACTATGCATATGCTTTTCACTGAAAAATACCCAAACCAGAAATGCAATTACTATTTTTATTTAAAAATTTTTAAAGAAAAATTCTCTCTATCGTTTGGAAGACCGCAAGTGGACACATGTTGTCAGTGCGAAGCTCTAGATATTAAGATGAAAAGCAAATCGCTTAATGAAACCGCTAAACTTGCAGCAAAAGCCGAAAAAGAGGTCCATGAAAGACGGGCCAAAAAATTTCATAAGAAAATGAATGAAATCAAAGAACTCTGCTTGCAGGATGACTCTCATGGAGCAATATGCATAGACTTTATGCAAAACTTAATGTTACCAAATATTCCTGTTCAAGAGGTGTTTTACCTTCACCAGCTGACAGTTAATGTTTTTGATATACATGATTTAACCACTGGCAATGCTATGTTTTATGTGAATCACGAAGGCATTTCGAGGAAAGGTTGCAATGATGTTTGCTCATTTCTAATGCATTATATCGGCAATATTTTGCCCAAGACAACAAAACATTTGCACATATTTTCAGATGGGTGTGCAGGCCAAAACAAAAACCACACGGTGATTCGCTTGTGTGATACAGTGTGTACTAATAATTGAACAAAAAAAGGTATTTTCTTGAAGTGAAATTATTGTCAATTATGATGTTATTAAATATATTTTTAAAAGAACATTGTCGAGGTGTTACTTTGTTAACATTGTTGGAATCTTACTCTGTATAGTTAAGAAAGTAACTGCAAATATACCGGGTGCGACTCAAAAGTGGCTCACCTCTATAACTTTTTTATTTTTTTCAGATAAAATGACGAGATTTGGTCTGTTAGTATATGACATAAATTAGGATTGATTGACATATTGAATTCTTTTCGGCCACTTCCTGTTTCACCGGAAATGACTAAAACTTTTGATTTTTAAATGACACCGTGATACCGAGGGTGCCATTTAAAAATCAAAAGCTTTATTCAGTTGAATACATGAAGACGTCAATCAATCCTATATTATGTCATATACTAACATATCAAATCTCGTTTTTTATCTGAAAAATCTCTTGAGACGCACCCGGTATATGAAAACATAATCTTAAAACAATAAATTTTACATTTTCGTAAGCAAAAATTTATCATCTCACCTGGTGGGCAATGCAACTGAACAGCTCCTCCTAGTGACACTTCTACTTGTCGCCCTGTTGAACTCAGTTCCCCTACATCGAAGTCCGGTTCTTGAGTCACTTCCACATCATCTACAATAGAACAATTATTCAAACTTTAAAAGAAAATATTTTTTTTGTATGATAAAATTTCTCCAATATTTTAAGAGTTTTTAATGCATTGAGGGAACATAGCAACAAGGCTCATAAATGTCATTTATAGACTTTGAATCCTTCTGTTTCTTTAATAAGGAATTACAAGAATGGTCAGAAAATAGTGGGGGGCTAAAACAAATCTCTAGAATTGTAGATAAATTCACTAGTCACGGTCTCAACGTTTATATTAAACTAAACAGTGACACGTGTTTCGCTCATACGAGCATCATCAAACAAAATACTAATTAAAGTCAATCCACACAACACGCTCACATTTTACACATTAAAGCAACATTGAGATGGGGCTGAAATGGAAATGTTTTCTTCTTCTTTTTAATTTAAATCAGGTCTCTTTGAGAAGAATGGACGCCTTCTTTAAATTCACTAGGGTTGAGACAGGCAAAAAAGTTCATAGTAGATTATTTGCTGAAAATTACGACAGACCTGATAAGCAAAAACTGGAAGACTATCAAAGCTGTAGTGGATCTACTAACATAGTATTGTATCAAAATCAAAACACTAAATCACCACAATACACCAAAACACTTTTACTTTTACACTGGACGCGCGTTTCGCTAACCATGTTAGCATCATCAGCAGATGATTATAAACTGAAAGATTATAAACCGAAAGTTTATAATCATCTGCTGATGATGCTAACATGGTTAGCGAAACGCGCGTCCAGTGTAAAAGTAAAAGTGTTTTGGTGTATTGTGGTGATTTACTGTTTTTATTTTGCTGTGTAACACCAAAGGTTTCAACCCTCAGCTGTAGTAGTATTGTATGTTAATAGGCATCTAAAGCTGACGGATGAAGCCATGTGCAGAATCTGAAGAAGAAACGACAGACATAAAACATTGTATGTCAGTGCGACAGCCTGATAAATGTGCCGTTCTTTGTATTAGGCAATGATAAGCCATTGAAAAAGAGTTATATGGGGTGTTCAGTCTTACAGTTATTAGACATTTTGAAAAAGGACAGAACTAGAGAATGTAATCTAGAAATCAGAAAAGGACCACAACGAATCTGAAAAGATCGCAGTGGAACAGGCCGATAGCCGCCTCAAAAATCTAATCCAATCTCATCTAAAAATATTAATTTAAATAAAATCCTTTCTAATAAATCTGTCCTAAATTAAAATTGAAATAAAATAAACTATTCTCTTTTTATACTCAAATACGGGATATCAAGTTACATTGGATTACTAATTTAATTAATAATTTAACACATATGCAGATTCGTTCTATTTATTTAGCAAAAAACTCTCATATTCTTTATGATCTCTCGCATTTATAATTTAATTAATATTAATGTTATTTAAAATGGAGCGATTTGCCGTTTGGCAAACGCCACCAATTAGTTAATTACAGAGTATTATTAATTAATTTAATATAATATATCTATCGATGTATACAGGGTGGACAACTGAAACTTACAATGGCTATAATTCTTAAACCAAAAAAGACATCAAAAAAATAAAAAATACCGTTTCTATAATATCAAGGGGGAATATATATGACGTATTTTTTGAACCACCACGACCTACCCCTTAGGCGGCACCCCTACTCTCTTGAAAAACTTAAATGGCAACACCCCATTTGTTGCGCCTTTTTGGGAAGCCCATTAAAAATGCTAAACGATGATCATAAAGTTTTTAGGGTGAAATTGAAAAACTACCCCTTACACGAAAAATTAGGTGGACATTAATGAAAAAAGTGATTTTGGGTCCCAGCTAAATTAGTTAAAAAGGTATTTTTCAAACCACCCGACCCCCCCTAGGTGCCACCCCCTCACTTCTAATCTCATCAATTCCATTTTGAAACCATTTTGAAGCTAAAAATAAAAAATGTAGATATATTATAATAAAAAAGGCAACACAAAGATGTTTTACTAATCGTTCAGCCTAATTTTGCGATAACGCAAATTCCTACTTATCATCTATTTTTTTACTTTCAACAAACAGGAATCTTAAAACGTTTTCTTAAAAAATCTTTGCGTTTTTGCACTGTCTTCTATCGATTTTCAATCGTTTGCAGCAAGGAAGGTGCCTCCACGCGTGCATTTTACACATATGTTAAACAAAGAAAACTAAAATGCCGGCGCTCCCTGGAAACGTTGTCCAAGTGGACAACGGCCAAACCTTCCACCACCGGAAACCAATGCAATCAAAAGCCAAAAACAAAAACTGGCCCTTTTCAGAGCCAACTTTGACGATCGTTAGCCTGAACATTGAGGGAATCACCAAGAATGAAGAAGATATAATATCGCAACTATGCCAATCACAAAAGTGGGACGTACTATGCCTGCAGGAAACGCATAGAGATGAAACAGCAAACAGACCCAATATTACAGGAATGCGTCTGGCTATAGAAGCACCTCACAGAAGGTACGGGAGCGCAATATTTACCAGACCCGACATGCTGCTCTCATCCACGAGTAAGAAAATAACCCACGACATTGAAGTGTTAACTATCGAGAGCGGATCATTCACGATAAGCTCCGTATATAAACCCCCTGGCCAAAACCTAGACCTTTCAATGCCAGGCCACTTTAACAACCAGAAGACTCAATTTGTTGTGAGCGATTTTAACTGTCACAGCACCACCTGGGGATATGGCGAAACAGGCTCCAATGGTCAATTGCTGGAGCAATGGGCTGAGGCTACCAGCCTCTCACTTCTCCACGATCCCAAGCTCCCTTGCTCTTTCAACAGAAAAATTTGGAAGCGAGGTTATAACCCTGATAATTGCTTTGTCAGTAGGAACATCCACGACACCTGCTGCAAAAATGTATATAATGCAATTCCAAAGACACAACACCGACCTATCGGAATCCAAGTCTACTCTACAATCAAAACAACCAAAATATCTTTCCGTAGGAGATTCAACTTTATGAAAGCCAGGTGGCCAGAATACTCCCAAGTGCTGGATGAGGAAATAACCAATTTGGCCCCAACACCAAGCAACTACCACATCTTTGTTGAGTCCCTGCGAAAGATATCCAGACGATATATTCCTAGGGGCTGCAGACAACATTACATTCCAGGGCTCTCGAATGCCTCAAGGGACACCCTGGAGCAGTACGAACAATTGTTTGCGGAAGACCCATTCAGCGATCAAACCATCACCTGCGGAACAGCTTTAATGACAGCTCTCAGCGAGGCACGTGAGAAGGAATGGATAGAAACCCTGGATAGAATGGATATGTCTCATAATTGTAAAATAGCTTGGAATCTAATCAAAAAACTGGATGGTGACCCAAAACTAAGCAAGGCCCCTGCCAATGTAACACCCAATCAAGTGACCAACCAACTCCTTCTAAATGGCAAATTCAACTCCAAACGCCAGAAAACCAAAATCAAACGCCTAATACCAACTGAAAACACCAACTTTCACAAATGATTTACCATGAAAGAGTCGAACAATGGTATAAATACCATGAAGAATGGAAAAGCCGCTGGGATTGACGATATGTGCGTGGAACAGATCAAAAATTTCGGTCCTGGAACCAAAAAATGGATACTTAAACTTTTCAACGTATGTCGCGAAACCTTTCAAATTCCAAAACTGTGGCGGAAGTCAAAAGTAGTAGCTCTCCTTAAACCCGGAAAAGATCCAGAGTCTCCACCAGTCCATTACCACCTAGTCAAGATACTCGAATCCTTGCTCCAAAACAGGCAGTTTTTCGTGACGCTCGAGGGCAAAAAGAGTCGATGGCGAAACCAGAAGAATGGGTTGGCACAAGGGAGCGTGCTGGCACCAATTCTTTTCAACATATATACAAATTACCAACCTATTCCAGATAACACTAGAACCTTTGCATATGCAGATGACCTAGCAATAACAGTTGAAGGTAAAGGGTTCGAAGATATCGAGGAGAAACTAGAAAGCGCCCTAAAAACAATGTCAACCTATTACAAAAAGAATTCTTTAAAACCCAACCCCACCAAAACTAAAGTGAGTGCATTCCACCTTAATTCGAGACAGGCGACCCGCAGACTTAATGTTACATGGGACGGACACTACTAGAACACTCAGATAAGCCTACCTATCTTGGCGTCGTGCTGGACAGAACATTGACTTACAAATATCACTGTGAAAAAACATGCAAAAAAGTAGAAGCACGAAATTCTCTTATAAGGAAGGTGACCAATAGTAAAGGGGGAGCCAAACCTACCGTGGTCAGAACTTCTGCTCAAGCTCTGTGTTTTTCAACTGCAGAATATGCCTGCCCAGTGTGGTGTAGATCTGTCCATGCAAAAAAGGTGAACATCAGTCTGAATGAAACATGCAGAATAGTGACAGGTTGTATGAAACCCACCCCCTTAGAAAACCTTTACAAGGCCGCAGGTTTTACAAGCTCCGATTTACGAAAAGCTCATGAACATACTGAGAAGTTAAAACAAACCTTTGATGCTCGTCACTCAATTTTTGGCCAAGAGTGCGGTACAGGTAGACTTAAATCCAGACGCCGTTTCCTAAGCCACCCCCTGGATGAACCTCCCTCCCACTACCCCCTTAGAGAGGACCCACCAAATGGTGTTTCTAGCGACTGGAAAACCTGGAGAATGCTCAACCGAATCAGAACTGGGGTGGCCCCAGTAAAATCCAATTTGATCAAATGGGGTTTGCTGGACAGAAATGATGACAAATGCGACTACGGCGCCTTTCAGGACATGGAACATCTTCTTCAATGTCCTGCGTGCCCCCACAGATGTACCCTCGATGACCTATGGCTTGCTAAACGGGAAGCATTGGACGTAGCCCATTACTGGGTTAATAAACTATAATATAATCCGGATACGAAAAAGTAAAAGTAAGTCAATCGTTTGCAAATTTGGTGTTATTTTAAACCTTTATTTGATTCGCTTATTTAAAAGAAAAATGGTTTATACTGTGGAAGAAAGAATTCAAATAGTTTTTCTTTATGGTGCTGAA